CACTTCCATTTTCTGTTATCATTTCAGATATTCATCCAGATATAAATGCAGATTGTGCTGGTCTGAAACTCCACTGAATATAATATCCCATGAACTTTTTATAAAAATAGACACGCTATTTGTTACTTCCAGTTCTTTTGCACATAAATGGTTTTTAATGAAGGACTGTGTATTCTTAGCAGATCAGCCTGTTTATTCTGAAGCTCTTTCAGCATTCTTGGATATTCACCATCTGGGCAGGTTGACAACTTGCTAACATACTGCTGTCGCTATCCAGGCCTTCAAACAGGAAGTGAGAATGGGTCAGAAAGTCCTTTTTCAATAGAAATAATTCAGTAGGAAGCATAAAGTAAGGCTGAGTTGAAAACAACTTTTGAGAATTCAGAAACTGATTTGATGAATAGGAGATTGTGAACAGTAATGTTAATTATTGCCATCATCCACTTCAGTTTATTGGGAGAATAAATAAACAATTATATTAATATAAATATGCATATTTTGGGGCAAATTGATTTCTACTGTAACAAATTTGAAGACAGAAGTATTACAGTAGCATAACTAATTGGAGAAATCCAAGTCTGAAAGCACAAATACAACACCACTTCTGTATAGCACAGTGGAGGTCTTTGTAGCTATGGTTCATATCAGGAAAATTCCTGAATAGGAATAGGGTTAGGTTGGCCTCTGAGCACTATGTTTAAGGGAACTATAAACAGAGACATGGCTGTAACACCAGCCATTAGAATTCAGAGTCATCAGTAATGAATAAAAGTTGCCATTAGCAGTACGTCAGGCAGTGTACTGCAGCTCAGCGTTGAGGAATCAAACTCCCCAAGACCTCAACATTTATGGGTTAGTTCACGGCCACAAAAACAGGTTTAGCCATTCTCATCAATAGGAGTCTAAATCACAGTTTTATTACCATGGGTCTCCAGATGAGCAAGTGTGAGAGGACAAGGCTTGCAGGCATATGAAAGGTAGCTGCATGTGTTTGCAATGCGTGCTAACAAATCGGAGAGAAAGCCTCCTGGGCAGCAGGGAGCATCAACAGCTGAGCGCACTGAGTGTCTGGGTTTGGATTTTCCATCTGCTGAACCTGGCTTAACTTCTGTCCTGCCCTGGCCCTTGTGGTCGGCAGTAGCCTGCTTACCGCTCTGCTCGTGGCACTACTGTCAAGACTGGGGTAACAGAGAGATGTCAAAAGGAAAAATTGCTACAGATTGAGGTCGTGGACATAGTGCATTAAGTTTGTACGCCTCTTACTATATTTTTGCAAGAGCTGGGTGATGGTCTGGATTTTCAGGGGTCTCTGCTGAAGAGGAACACATTAGGTGTTTCATGGTGAGGAAAATATTTCCTTGAAAGGGAGGACTCCCAGACTCTTGAAACTTGCTTCTGTCCCTAGCTGTAATATTTTGGGCATGCTGACTTTTCTGCTTTCTCTTGGTGCTGTTATCAGTAGTGTTCATCAACAGTCTGAGGACTGTTTGTTACTTCCATGGTTTAAATATTCTTTATTTTCCATTGAATACTAACACAATATATTGTAATGCTCATATACATAAATATAGCTGTTTGTTAGACATTTAGCTTCCCACTAGAACATATAAAAGCATATCACACATATTATTAACTATGCTAATAATTATTTCCCATCCTCGAGTGTACTTTAAATGGCTGTTATCACCCCTTCAAATAAAGTTAAAAAAATATATGATTAAGAGAATAGTTTATAAGTTTATAGTTAAAATGCAACTCCAAACCAATAATACAGTTTATCCCTGTTTATCCCTGTTTCTGTCTGTTTTGTTACCTTACTGAACGAGATTATTCCTTACTGAACTTTCTTCTTAGTAGGAAGAGTGCATTTTGGAATATTTTTTAATGGAAAATAAGTAGAAACAAACCTGCAAGTCCTAAACATTACAACAGGCAAAGAAAAAAAAGCTACGCGTTGTGTAATATCAGGTATTCTGAATGTATTTTATATATCCCTTGCAGAGTAGAGAAATGTATATTCTTTTGTATTTGTGCTCTATTAAAAATATAATGAAGTAGTTGTAGGAATACAATACAATTCCATTAATAGTTTTTTGTGTCTTAGACATTAACATGACTAAGCAGCATTAAGGATCAGCAGTATCCATTAATAACATTCAATACTGTCTTCTATAATACTTTTAATACTTTACATACTCTGTCAGTCATAAACAAAACGATTAGGGAGTGTAGTTAAATCCATTACAACCGCAGAAGACAATCAGTCAGCCGCAAGTAACACAGACTTTACTGAAATAAATGCATTTTTTTAAACAACGCTTTAAAAAAGTATCAATGCATATAAGATAAAAGGTTCTATTTTAGTTCTTGCCTGGGACTTCCACTGATACCATAAGGAACACTGACCAGAGAACCAGGACAGAATATGGCCTTATACTCTGAGGAGCTGTTAAAATGCTTAGTCTCTGAAATTAGGAAGAAACAACATAGGGAGCCACCTAATGAGCCTTTACGCTCTTCTACATTAAGGATTATGAGTTTCATTCTAAAAATACCCCAGTTCTTATGTGTTGCAATGAAACGCTATAGTTGCACAATAAGAAACCAGCTGTATTCCCTGTGAATCTGCACCTGACATAAACTGACTAGCAAAAGAGATTTTCAAAAGAGAATAGATTTAGATTCAGCATTTTGTAGTGATTAGTCAACCTTCCAAAAATGACATAGGCATTAAGAACTTCCCAAATTATTAGTGCTTTACTACAGGTAAGATTTCCTGAAGGAACAACCAAACCGATAACACAGTTGAGTACTCCAGCAGATTAATCCCTTACCACTCTCCACTGTACCATGGCTAGTTTTACAGGAATTGTGAATGTAAAATTCTGTGACTCATATCCTTGCAAGCTGTTAAACTCTTCCTTTGAACCCAGGAGTAACAGTGAAATCCCATAAGTCTGTCATATTATTTCAGAATAAGTTAACTCAGGAAAACAATCATAGCACTAATATAGCATAGGGCATGTAGCTGGCTGGCTCAAATATAATTACATGAAACATCACCTTCTCAAGGTACAATTGTGAGGCAATATATTGCAGTATAGTGTTTGTAAATAAATGTTGCTAGCAGATTAGCAAGGTTACCCAACTCCACTTAAACTCAACCAGATATTCATAATATGTCCATAATGAGAAGGATTCATAGCCATTATCTGTATAATTTGATAGAGTGCATGTAGGCAAGTATAATGGGAGAAATCAGATCAAAATCAGTGCACATGATTTAACAGAGCCTTAAGTAAAAGACTGAAACAAAAGACAAGATGAAGCAGAAAAGACTTCATGATTTGCTGGTAGATTCAAGATTGGTTCATGACTTTCCATTTAATTCCTTTGTCATGCAAGGTCAGTTGAAGAACAGATGGACAAACTGAGTTGGCAATCACAGATGTGCAGCCAATATTGAGAAATAATGAAAGAGATTATTTGGGTTCATCTGGGATTTGAAATCATGTTCATATAAAGGCTAAAAACCTGTCAAGCCAGTGATGATTTATCAAGATTATTTTTGGAAATGTATGGAGGTTTCAACTGTGAAACGGTTTAAAATCTTTCTATTCAGACTGTAAATATTTATGAACTAGATAGTTATTAAGCCAAATACTGACCAGAGCATAGGCATCTGTGGATAAAAAGGCATCAGAAAAATTAAGTTCTTAGGGTAGTATTGTTCACATGGGATTTTTTTTCTTTTCAAATAACATTTAATATAAAAAACCTCTATTCTTTATTACAGAAGCATACTGTTTAGGAGTGGCTTCTTAAAATATACATTACAAGTCTTTTTCCTTAATGATTATTTTTCTGCTGGAGGTGCTCTCAGTAGCACCATAATGTTCTACCATTTGGGGGGGGTCTCTGTGAGTACAGGGAGCAGCCAGCTTGCAGGTTAGCTGACATGCATAGTATGGTAAGTCTGATTTGCCAATCACTGTCTGTGAATGTTAGAGATGTTAGAAATGTGTATAAACATACACAGTATTCATGTGTATATTTTAAAGATGGCACTGGAGCACAAGGTGTGATAACTTAAAGTGAAGTGCAGAAGTATCTAAATTCAACTTGAGCTCTCTTCCTGAGCTGCACCAAATGATCTTTAGCAGCAATATAGGTTTCTCACAAGTGATGCACTAGATGTATGTAAACAAAATACTATTTTAACTTTGAGTTTGTAAAACATTTTCATGCCAAATTCAGACCTGGTGTAATTTAACAAATATAGGTAGCTTTCCTGGAGCTGGATATGCTACACCAACTGAATTTGTCCTGCCACATTCAAAATTCCCTGAATTTCCAAAGTATCTGTTACTAAACTTCACTGCAGGATAGTGAAAAAAAAAAAAAAAAAAAGACTTCACATTCAGTAGCTTAATTTAGAATAATGAATAAATTCATTGAAGATTAAATAATTGCAATTACAGTGGAAAGACTTGACAGGGACACAGAGAATTCATGCAAGTAATGTGTGACAGTTCAGATACAGAAATTATGCTAGCTGAAAAATAAGCTGCGCTTCTACCTTTCAGCACAGTAACAGCCGTGTTACACCGCAGATTTGTTTTGTGCTGTTTCATGAGGTGGAGACAGACAGACCTTTACATCATCTTTTATTCTGTTGCTTTCTTTGTAAATTCAGGTACTTCCAGCTATACACAGTACAAAGCCCCATCCTGCAACCGGATCTATATAACTGAATGCTTTTTTCTGGGTGGACTCCTGTTTAAATCAGCAAAGTGTCACATAAATGCAAGGATAACCCCAGGATGGGGGCTGAATGCTGTATTTTTATCAAGAACTTCTTGTTACATGTAAAACCTACTTAATCTTTGATATTGTGCATCTTCCATGCAGTACAACACTGCATTGGGGAATATGCCTTCTTGGGTTTATTTTATATGTGCATAATATATACACAAATAAAAAGTATCACCTGCAAATAATATTTGGAATGTGAAAGACACAAAATGTAAACATTTTATTTGGCAGTCATTTCAAACAGGTGAATAAATAAATGGAAATGTACATTTTAATATTCTTTATAGCAACAGATGCAGTTGCACACATATTTACATATTGTGGATGCAAAGAACAGTTAATTTAATTTATTTTTTGTTAAAAAATGCAACTTCCAACACCACTAGACTTGACAATTAAAGATGAAGATACTAGTAATAATTTGTTCTAGCAATTTCAACTTTTAAAGGCATTCATTTGGAAGTAAGATAAGACAGTCATCATGCATTTAGTTCATTTTGTCCACTTATGGTAGAAAGTCTGATGTAATCTCAGAATTATGAGTGTCATGCGCTTAAGTCAACTATGACATGTTTATAAATCAGTGTAGTTCCCTTAAAACTTGAAGCAAAGAGAAAATCTCGTTTATCGATGGAGACATGTATGAAAGATCTTGGTGCCTGTACATTTAATTCTTGAAACTTCACAAATTTTGCCTTTTCAGCATCCCAATAATAGACTTGAGTGAAAGAATAATCACTTCCAAGAATGGCATATTGATAATTACTTATCTGAAGCGGTTGGAATACCATTGACCCTCGGGATGGCATCCTTTGTAAATCCAGAAATGCTGAACCACCCCATTTCATTACTTTAGAGTCCCCAATAAATCTTGTTAAGCAAATATATACATCCTCTTTCACTTTGAAATGCTTCACTGCATACGCATCTTCCATATCTTGGATATCAAAACGCTTAATAAATTCATTTGTTCCTTTGTTCCATTGATATATTACGGGTCTTTGGGAACTACTTGATAGAATTAAATGTGGTTTGCCAGATATTTCAAGATACTCCACATCAGTATCTCTGTACCAGGCATGCAGAGACTGATGGGAATAAAATCCATTCCCATTCCATTTGTAAACCGTGGTGAAACCAGCCTTCGAACTGTCTGCAACAACAAAATACCAGTCTTCAGCAATCCTGAAAGTTTCAATGTCATTGGGTTTTCGGATTTTAAGGATTTCAATATCTTGAATTTTTATAAACTTATTAGCAAAAATATCTCTTTTATATATGTGGGAGCCTCCAAACAGCTGTGCGACAATGACATACAGCTGACTCTCAATAACTATAGGTTTACAGACAACAGTTGAAGTACCTATAAAAAGAAAAGTAAAAGACAGGGTTAGCACCACTTTTTGTATCAGCTGTTGTAATGTTACTTGTTGAGCAGTGTTCATACCTGTTATGTTGTCATAATTCCTGAACATCACTTCTACATGGTCCCATTCAAGAAAGATGCATTTTCCAGTAAAAGGCTGAGCGATAACCACGTGTTCATCGTTCATGTATGAGAAAGTATCTACTGACAGAGATTGGTATGGCAGGGACTGATAAACTTCAAATTCTGCAAAAGTGCATACAACATATGATAATTACAGAGATACTCTCCATACTGTACTGAAAAAAAATCTGCTTAACATATACCAACTTATTACACATTATAGTATTTCCTGACTCGTCCAATTTTCCTGTTGATAAAGGAGCACTGCAGCTTGTTTTTCAATCTTTCTCAATTAAAAGAGGTGCTGTTTTATGTCCCAGTTCTCCAAATCCTTATATAGCATATTAAAGTCTGAGTAGAAGCTGCAATATAAGCCCCTACTCCCAAGTGATTTGCATGCCAGACTTACACCTGCACAGAATTCATATTTATTTTTTTGGAAGTTCCATCCAGTATGCAGACTTCCTGCAAAAATGGACCCTAGAATAAAACAATATATAGCTGTGACTTTAATTTAACAAGATTAAATAATTTGAAGCACATTACCTGTAATAATGCAATCAAATTCTTTTGGAGAGAGGCTATTGATTTTGCGCTTCTTATATTCTATAGGGCTTTCACAGTAAATGTCTTCAACTGTTGCGTTGGTGCTGCCCAGCCATTCCACTAACCACTTCAGTTTGCAGTCACAATTAAATGCATTGCCTCTAAGATCTCTACAACAAATAAATCATGCATTGAAAATAAGTAGTCAGATAATGTATTCCTCCTTGTGGGACAACAACAATCTGGGCTCCTGTTAAATATGTGCCCTCTTGCTTATTCTCAGTTGATGCCTTCCTGGCTTAATTTGTCCTGATCCATAGTTAAATCTACATACCAGAACCCACACAGATTTAATTATATTAATGTAATCAAGAGGAACTTAACTTGATGATCAGTAGGAAATTTTTGTTGATTTCCCCAAGTTTACAGGTGCACAAAAGCCTACCAAACTGTTGGCCCCATATTTCAGGAGGTTGTTTTTTTTGGATTACCCTTTCTCAATAAGAGCATTCTAGAAAACAAAACCAGAATTAATGTCACCTGATGGTCAGCCAGTCAGTATTTGCTGTCTCCTTTAGATATACTCATTTAGGGCTTTAGGAGACACAAGCAAAGGAGTTCTGTTCAAGTCTTTTACAGCTGTCTTCAGTCAGATTTCGGATCGTATGTACAGGAACAGGCAAGCGCCAGGACGACTGTGTAACCACCTGGCCATGATCAGTCATGCCAAGTAATACTACCAGAAACACTGACCATCTCCACATCTTACTACTGCAGCTCTACATTATGAATTCAGCCTACCTGGTTAATACAGGGAGTAGGCAAAGGGTGTTCTGCACTCATTATCCCAAATCAAGTGACCAGAATTCGGTGTGTTCTAAGTGGGATATATTTCAGTAAAGCAACTGATTTACCTGTTTAACTATATTTTGTATCTTTACTGATATTTAAGTTATATATTTAAACAAGTTCATGTTTTGGTTTGGTTACAATTAGATTTAGTATGGGATATGGTACTTACTAAGATACATGCTTTTGTGATACAAGATAGCCTTCTCAGAAATTATTTGCAGATAGAAATGCATTAAATATCTTCCACCATTACTCCATTAAATATCTTCCACCTTCCCCTCAATCCATGCTCTCTCAAGCACCACTAAGGATATTTCCTTATTATTCACTAAGTCTTAATGAACATGCAGCTCTCTTACATAACTACAAACAATATTACTTATCTTCATAACTGGTGAAATATTCAAAACTAAAGCAAATTATCAACAACAGTAGACAAAACCCAAGCCTACCCATATTGGGTAGTCTCTACCCAGTAATAAGACCCCATTACTGGCTATCAGTTTGAATGGTTACTCAGAATGTCCTCTAAAATAATATCTTTATCTTTTTAGTAAAATCAATAGATTAATTAATTGCTTTCTTACACATTTGTTAAAGAATCCAAGCCTTTGAATATGTCTTTTGGAAGCGATTGGAGATTATTATTTGCGAGACTCCTGTAAAAGAAGACACTTCAGTATCAGTGCTAGTTCATTAAATGACACATTTTTGCAAGGTGTAATACTGTGTGGGGATTTTTTCTGAAGGTAAAGAACCCTGGTATTCTCCAGCACTTAGTTCTAAAAGATTGCTTTTAAGAATAGCTCACTTACTCTGTGTCTTTATCTTCCACTAAAATGCCATGCCTCCTTCTGCTTTCTCACTCTTCAGCAGCTTTGCAGCATTTACAATACTTCACTTAGCACGGTAAAAAGTGCAATCACCTCTGGTGTTTTGCCAACACCATTATTTTATAACAATTAGTCATGTTTTCCTTATGAGATACAAATACATGGTGTTCATATTACTGCAATTAGCCCACTTTCTTGTATCTCTTCAGGAGGGAAAATCTTAATACTAGGTTTCATTTCACTGGACTTAGGTTTAGCTCATAGTTTTTGGAAATATGCAGTAATAGACAAGAAATTGCTGATTCAGCATCAATTTCTTTCCTGAAATGTGCATGTGTGTGTGTGAGTATGTATGTATGAGATCAGCAAAAAACTTCCGTTAATTCCCCATTTTTAATGTTGGGAAAACTTGTTTAAATTCAGTGAGTATTCTAACTAGTAAAAGTGACGAGGAAATGTGAGCAGGCTTTGAACAAGCAATATATTACATTTCAGTCAGACACGTCTGTGTGAGTCCACCAAAGGTCTGGGTTCTCCGAGATGTCACTAAGGGCATGACAGGAAAAGAATGATGTTGTAGGGTATAGCTTATGCCTCTTTTGATTAACAAAAATATTTATTACTTATGTAAAGAAGTGAAAATGGAAATAAATCATTCTAGGTTAAGATCCCAGTTAGAATCTGTAGCTACTAAGACTTCGAACCTCTTCTGTTTTCGCTTGTAAACATAAAAGTTATTTATTAACTACAATTTCTCTAGCCAAGCAAAGCTACTGAGGCATATGCTCAAATTCAAGAACAGGTCCAGACGTACTAGGTCTGCTGCCTCATTTAAAATTAAGTGTTTGCTTTATCAGGAATAGCAAATACGGAATGATGCCATTAGTCCATTCTGACTTCACCACTTTCAAAGTACATCTGACTGTAACACTGTTTAGTGTATGTATCAGGTGCTTCACTTATGCTTAATTTTATGCTCAAGAGCAATTCTTTAAAAATCAGGTAACTCATATGGAGAAAGCTAAGTAGAGCTTGCAAGCTGAGTCAGGTTTAATGCCCTATATATTCTTTATATATTACTATATAGCAATCTGAAATGGGTGATATACTCAGAAATAGCAATGGTTCACCACTGCCATGGGAATATGACAGACAGAAAAATTTACACAAGGTTTATGCATTTGCCAATTTTTGTATGAAAATTATCCATTTTATAGTCCACCGTTGAACAGCATACTTATATATTAGAAAACACTGGCTTGCCTAGATGGTGCTGTACGTGGTATTTGGTTAATAAGAGAGTAAAGGTTGAATCAAACATGCAGTTAAACTTAGGCTGCAGTTCTGGCAATAAAAATTATATATTGTGCATAGAAATTGTTGTCCAATCCTAACTGTAAGATTTTGACATTAAATTAGTAAACTAGTAAAAAAATTTGATATTTTTCTATATTTTTTCTGCTCTTAAGTCCACTCTGAGCAGAAAATAAATTGTGTTGCATAATGATAACTACTAGATGGCTCAGTTTTACACTAAGGACACACTATAGTTATCAAAGTTAGTTGCATTATAACAATACAAATGTTTGGATAGCTTGCTGCATTGCAAGAGTTATGTTGTGAAAAGGAAGCGAACAGAATAAATAGACCAAAGTTCGTCTTCTCCTCTGACTTCATGGAACTCATTTGTATGCTTATTTACTATGATTCTTTTAAATATATTTTATGTACACAAGTATTTTCCTGTTTCTTAAATGCCTCAGGGTGCCAAATGATTATTCTTAACGTGTATATGCAATTTTCCCCAAAGGGTGGGGAGTGGTTCTGCAAGCAGATGAAACTAGTCACATTCTGTGGTTAATGGACCTGCCTTTGCAGTTATTTTCTGCAGATTTCTCATTGTCTTTGTGAATAGCACTTCATGCACAATAGCAGCATGATGCACAAATCTAGGTCCCAAAAAATGTGCATGCAACCACATGCAAACCGCAGTGGCTCCTCAAATATGGTTCTAGTATGTTTTCTCTTACGAAATTGCTGAACCATCCCCAGAAAACAACATAACAGGCAAGACAAGATGTTACTCCTGGACTGTATGCTCTGGAGAAGAAACTGTGCCTTCCTCTCTGTTAGAAAAGCAATTTGCTCACTGGCAGCAACAGCTACTAAATAAGTAAATGAATATGATAAATAATGTACTGGACCCATTTGTGAATATAAAGCTATTCATGTGCATAAGTGTTTTGAAGATAGGGTCCCAGTTACCAGCCTTATCCAACTATCTGCCTTTTAAAATAATACTAAAATTATGCCTATACCTCTGACATGGATTTTTATGGGATGTGCACAGCCTGTTTATATGCCTTTTCCCCTCTCCTCTCTCTTTCCCCTTCCTCAGACCTCAAGCCGCTCTATAAGCAACTTTGTCTACACGAGCAGTCCCAGTAGGCTTGGTTTCAGCCAGCTGTGAGTCTTGTCTGTTCTGACCAAAAAGGGAAGAGTAAAGTGTTTTATGGTACATTTACTATGTGGTGAAGGATGTGGGGAATTGCAATTCAGCTATTATATTAATACATTAACTATTTAAAATGGAACCTTTGCTTTCTCTCCTGTGTCGAAATATCTGAAAGAAAAGGTTAAATGACCCTGTTTCAAAACCCTCTTGGAGGTTATTGTTTTAAGGCCAAAAGGTCAGAATCCACTCCCCTTCCTATGACACACACCCCAAGATATATGCTTCAGAATGCAAATGCTCAGAGCTGGGTATAAATCCATGTCAGGCACACCCCATATGTTTTAGCCTCCTTCTCTTACATTATTTTTGTATTTTTGATGTTTTCTTACAGTACATATCATATTTTCAATAAATTTATCACTTGTTAAAATAAAACTATTGCTAAAAGATGAAGTTGATGCAAGGCAAGAGGCAAAAGCTTGTCTAAAAACTGTCTTGCTAGCTCAGAGCATGAGGATGCTACTCTTGTGTTTGCAGTGAAATGTCACAGGTATCTGTTGCCAGTGTGCGTTTCCCCTGCTGAGCCCAGCGTGAGACATGCCTCTGCTGGTGTGAGCATGGGAAGTGTTCCTCCTAACAGCTCCATCAGCATCCAGAGTGCCTTTCACTAATTTCCCCTCTCGGCTAATGCAGCAAGGGGGCTGCAGCACGTCAGAGGGCAAGGGCCTGGCCGTGTTTCCAGGACAGCTGAAGGGCTGAGCAGCAACATGAGGAATGTTAAGCAGATCCTGGTGTCAATGTGTGACAGATCTCAACCGTGGGATGCTCTGGCTTGCGTGGAGGAG